TGTTTTGAGGTTTCGGGGTTTAGGGAGGTGTCAGGAGCAGGGCCCGGATTTAACCCTAAACCAGGAGGGTTGCCTGATGAGGGGTCCTTGTGATTCAGACTTTCCCTGCCTTTGGCTCAGGATGCAAAGTCTCGGGGGTGGGGGGTTCAGGGCCTGCATCGATGACAACCTGGGTAGTTCTCTAAATTAGGGNNTTGGGATCCTGTTTATAAGGGTGCCGTACTATATTGGTGACCCAAAAGACGGACCCCAATTATTCCTACTTCAGAGAACTGCCCACCTCGCTGCGCAGGCCAAATCCGTCGTCCCTGCGCAAGAGGAAGAGGCTTCCTTCCTCGGAAACGGGGACATACTTCTATTCTATGGGATCCTGTAAGGAGCCCTTTTATAATAAAGAAGCCCCGTACAGGAGCCCTTAAAGGAGCCCTTAAAGGAACACTCTTATTATGGGGACGAGAAAGGGGACATTAGATCACTCTTTGGCTGCAGCTGCTCTGTTTCGGAGGGACCTCTGGGCATGAATGGCTAAGGCTGCGCAGCGAAGCACGTAAAAGAACACCCCGCTGCGACTTCTGGTCCAAAGAGACTCCCCGGAGTCTAGCCGTCTAGACTGGCCTTGATGGCTTACCTCGGTTTTCGATATGCTAGGAGCCTTCAGAGATTCTCGGGGTCTTCATGACAAGTTTGGTGCAAGACGCCTATATACCAAGTTGCGCCTCCTCACTTTGTAGAACGGATTGGAGGGCTCGCTGCCAGTCCCAGCTTTCGAGGTCGTGTTTTTAAGACCTGCAAGGCAGCCCCAAAGTCAAAAAACACCAAGGCTTTGGCTAAACTCGTGGGGTGTAGGCCCGCGGGGTCAGACGATGGCCTGAGAGCTAGATGCTGGTGCGCCTTCCGGGCTGTCAAGCGAGAGTCAAAGCACCTCGCTTGACTCCCACCCCCGCCTCTCGATCGAAAGGCGGCCAAGGAGCCATCATCCCCTCCTCCTCTTTGCCCTCTTTTGGTGGCAACTCCCCCTCCGTTTCCCTGGGCCTCGGCCTGGCTTTGGGCCTCGGCGCCGCCTCCCGGAGCTCCAAGGCCAGCCTCCGGCGCCCTTCCGCCATGGCGGCCGCCCCGGAGGAGACGGTGTCCCTGCGGCGCCTGGTCTCGCAGTGCGTGGACCTGGCCCAGCGCGCCGGCGCGCTGATCCGGGGTCCTTGTTGGATAGAATTTTTACATATTATGTTATAATATATAAAACCCTGTTAAGGATAAAAGTGATGAAAGCTGATCATTTTTAATATGGCCCCAACCGGGAACCAGGATCCGGGGCATTTCGGAGAAGGCGGCGACGGAGGAAGGAAGGGAGGCGCTGCGCTTGCACGACAAGGGCTCCGGCACTGGAAACTTCGATCCGCAGACCGTGGCCGACCGCCAGGCACAGCGATGCGTGGTCGAGAACTTGCGTGCCCTCTACGGCGCTTCCTTGCGGGTGGCTGGGCCGCAGTTCAGGAGTTTCAATTAAGCTGCCATGGGACAGTAAATATAGGATGCGGTCCATCGTATTTCATGACATCCGGTGCCACGAGCCCTGGACCCTGAACCCTAAACCCTGAACCCTGAACCCTAAATCGTGAACCCTGCACGCTAAAGCCGCCCCAAAGCTTCAGCAGAACCCTCAACAGGCACTTTGAGTAGTACCCGGAGCCCACCTAGACCCTAAATCCCGGCGCGCCCAGGGTGGGAGAACCTCTATGCCCCTGTAGACCCCTTTATAGAAATAATAGGGTTCCCTTCTGAAGGGTACCATAGCGGTTTTCTATAACAGGGCGAACGCTTTTATGGGTACTCTAGAACCCAAAACCCAAAACCCTAAATTCTCGGCGGGTCCGCCTTTTTGGGGAGCCCAGGTGGTGGGCGAGGAGGGCGATCTGGGGCTCGAGGATTCGGGAGATGGCGAGCCCGTGGAGATCCGCGAGCCCTCGGCGTCCCTGCTTTCGGATGTCTGGCCGGAGGAGAGGGTTTTTAGGAGGTGTGGGTTTAGGGTTTTAGGGTTTAGGGATTTTGGTGTTTAGGCTTTAGGGGTTTAGGGTTTGTAGTTACTACAGGATTCGTGAATTTCGCATGTCTGGGTTGAGGAGACCCTCTTTTGTTGAGGTTAAGGTTGCTACAGCTACTCCAGGCATTCCATCTGAGTTCAAGAGGGGCGCTAGAAGGGCCCGACGGGTGTTCAAGGGGCTTGTATGGGGTTAGGGGTTTATGGCTTAGGGTTCAGGGTGTAAGGCTATGGGGCCCGCAGCAAAAAAAACGCTGCAACTCAAAATCCGCAAGCTCCAGAGGTGCAAATCCTTAAGCATAAATCAGCTCAAGCATGCTCTCAGATGTCTGGCCCTAAACCCTAAACCCAGAGGAGAGGGACGTGGTCCTACCTCTGTCGGAGCTCTGCATTTGGGTCGACCCGCTGGATGGTACTAAGGAGTTCACTCAAGGTCGCTACGAATTCGTGTCCACCTTGATCCTTGCCTCGAGAGTTTCTGGCGCCCAGGGTTTAGGGTTGAGGGTTCTTTTTCCTGTGGTGATCCTGTGACATGTTTGCCCCTGACGTTCATGGGGTTTCTGGGTTCTACAATATGAAGCGGGGACTTCAACCTCACTACAGAGATCTTCTTGACTCTGTCGGGCTATTCCAACCGATGACGTGGGAGTAGGAGTGGCTTTCCAAGTTTGTGCATGTAGAGCACGCAAATAGGCTCCGCACCGAGTTGAACTAGTTCCTTCAACTTTCTCACAATGAATGATACGTACTGTAAAACCATGAACCCTAAACATCTATTCACGCTCACAGTGGCGCGCTTTGGTTCTTCCTCCACAGCCATGGCAATGGCCGATTGCAGTGGGGTCACGTGCTGGCAAATCTTCAGCGATGGGGATGAAATACCCTATTGTTGCGAGAATGGCGGTGTTTGTGGGGGAAAGGGGAGGGCGGGAATGTGTGATTGCAAACCTGGCTTCCACGGTGCAGCTTGCAGGCAAGCTGACGAAGCGCGCGGCCTCAACTCTACGTTCACAGTGCCTCTGCCACGTGCTGCCACTCTCTCTATTCCAATGCTGCCCACACTGGGCATAGTTTTCATGGGGCTTTTCGTGCTGACCTTCTGGATGATTCGGTGCAAGAGGAGCCTAGCTGTCAAGGGCAGCCTCGCACTGCAGTGATCTTGGGGGCTGAGTGGGGAACCTTTAACCCTTCGGGGCTTACGATCTGTTTGAAAAGGTGGCCTTGTTTGGGGCTAGGGTACTCAGCCCCAAAGGGGAGCTGTGGCAAGGCCGAAGCCTACAGCCACCCCAGCCACCCTTTAGGCAACAGCGACCAGAGCTGCCACGAGATTGTCAGCTCAAAAGCAGCTGGGCAGTTTCCCTCATGTTTGAGACTGGATGAGGCATGAGCTGCCATCAGTTTCCAAAGCCTGTCCTTCAGAGGTGATTCCATCGATACGGTACACCCATAAGCCCTGAAGCCCTGTAAACTTGAAACCTGCTAAAGCCTGCACCCCCAACTCAACTCTGGGCACCCCGAACTAAACCCAAGCCCTTCATCAGACACTCAGTACCAATCCTGAGGATCTCAGGAAGTACCCGTAACGGAACCCTTGTAGGAACCCTTCTATGGCACCCTAAACCCTAAACCCTAAACCCGAAGCCCTAAACCCTAAACTCTAAGCCCAAACCCTAAACCCTAAGTCCCTAATCATCTCCAAAAAAAGACCCCAAAGGAGCTCTATGATAGCACCCTTGTAGTACCTTGTTCGGAACCTTATTGTAGAGCCTGAGAGTACCCTTAAAAGGGAACTGCAGGGTGCTACAGCAGGGCCTTTAAAGGAAACGATGGGGTTCTACACTAGCGCCCCCCCCCTTGGGTATAATAGGATCCCCTTTAAAGAGAAGCCTTACAGGGAACCCTTCAGCTTAAATATATCTTTTTTAAAAGGGCTCCCCTTTAAAGGGAGCCCTTGCAGGGAGCCCGAATCCTGAGGATCGGGGTCAGCCAGCTCGGTCAGCCCGTGGCCGGCGTCATTTCTGAGCCCTACAACGTCGACCCAAAGGTCCGGGACGACTCTAAGAACCCTCTAAGGACCCTTAGAGCCCTGTAGGCTAGAGGTATAGATCGATTAGATAGGTAGACAGACGATGTATGCATGTATGTATGTATGTATGTATGTATGTATGTATGTATATATATATAATATAAATATATATATATACTAATGCTGCTACTAGGGCTCAGAAGACTCTCTGAGGAGAGATTGCTGGTGCCCCAGTGCTACGGCACGTTAGTAGACTCGCGCCCCCTTTTCCCTGCCACGGCGCGCTCTTCGCCTAACTGGCATCGACACCAACGACAACACCGAGCCAAACTGAGGAAGCGAGTCCGTACGCGCAGACGTGCGTCTTTTCGGCCTCTTCTGAAAGACGTGAGTGTGCTTGAAGCACACCATTCGGCGCCCCGCTATAGGCTTGACATGGGGGGCAAGAGTCAGCCATGGCGACGAGATGCGTCGCAGCCCTCGTGGCACTTGTGGTCTGGTGCGAAGTCTCCTTCACAAAGACCGTGGCGCAGCCAGTACTATGGTCGCGACTGGAAGCCGGACAAGCCGGACCATGCCATGATCGCTTTCGATACGAAGCCAGTCGTCCCAGCCCACACTGGGAGAGAGATTGCGAGACTGGAAAGCCAAGAGGAGGGACAGCCCTCTGGCCAGCAGTTCGTGCAGGACTTTCAGAGCTTGGTGAACGGGACGAGAAAAGCCGAAATTCGGCTTGCCAAGGCCTACGAGGCCAGGGAGGTCACCAAGAAGCAGTGGGAGGAATTCCAGGAGACGCTCAAGCAGAATTATCTTCGGGAGAAGAAGAGATTTACGAACATCCTTGCTCGGCAGGAAAAGGAGGTTGTGGAGGCGAGAGAAGGTCAAGCTGCTGCCCGGGCCCTTGTGCGACAAGGACTCAGCCCAGGAGGTCACTCAGTGGGAGCAGATGAGGATGGACTGGGAAGCAGAACGTGCTGGGACCATCGAAGGCGTTATTCAGAGGGCCATTGCGGAAGTCGAGACACCGACACCGCACCCACAACACTGATCATCCTACTCTTAGCCGCAGTGCCGACCTACCGCCTCAAGAGCGCATGCAACAACTTGCGCATACTCATGGCCTGGCCCTTCCTGAAGATGGTGGCGCCCCAGCTCCCTTCCCGCGTCTTGCACCACTTCCTGGCCACGACCCAGCCTTGCCTCCCCCTCCAGAGTTTGCACATGCCACCTTCCAGGTCTTCTCTCGGGAATATGTCCCGGAAACTGTGCATGTGGCGCTTCGGGTGCCTGCAACTGTTGATGAGGCTTTACGTGCAGTCGACGATGCCAGGGATCATGGTAGGAGTTTGTTGTTTCCGCAACTTCTCGTTGTGACCCCGCAACCGTCCTCTGCCTGGGGCACCCTGCTCGCTGTGCCTGACTGGGGTCGGCAGGAGCCCCTTGCACTGTTTGACCTCTCGGACATTGATGGTCGTGTCTATGCCGCCCCGGTTCCCTGGGTTGCCGACAAGGCTCTGTTGTGCCGCATTGCCCTCGTCCAGCGACCTGACTTTGTCAATGTGTACATGCACGGCCACCCTCACCCGCTTGAGGATGGAGAGCCTGTTCAGATGCAGACGGCCCAATGCATCTTCTTTGTTCCACGATGGTTGCCTGCACGATTAGGTGCCGCCTTGCCATGGATGCTTGCAACTTCTCTTGGATGGGCCGAGCAGCCGGTTTTCCCTGCGCCTGTCCAGGCACATTTCTTTTGCTGTGTCCATGATGGAGGTCATTGTCTTTTCTACCTCCGCCCAGGTCGCTCAGCTCATTATCGGGTTGACATTGCTGCCCTCCTGCAGAGGGAGCCTGACAGCTTGACGCTGCAGCCAACCCACCCTGACCTCACTGACATCGTCGTCGATGGCATGCCTTGTCATACGGCTGTGGCGGTCACCTCTACCCTTTGTACTCTGCCAATTCCGCCTGCGCGGATGCGACCGCACACGGTACTTGCTGTTGTTGACTGCCGGCCACTTCATCAAGGTTTCTCTCTTCTGCTTGCCGAGCATGGCTTGTATGCTCATGCAAACTTGATTGATGAGCTTGGCGTTTTCACTCCCGATGGCTACCAGCTGCAAGTCGATGGTGCGCCCATCGACGACCACGGCAACCTGCACATACAGCGGGGGCATATTCTGGTTGCCCAGTATGTCCCCCTCTCCGATGAGAGTGAGCCTGGTGAGGACGATGCCGAGGATGACGACGACGACGACGACGACGACACGAGTGACGGGCGTCCTCCAAAGCGTGGTCGGAGTGACAGCTCTTCCAATGTGTCAATGTCCTCGGACAGCGAGTCGTCTCCAGAGGATGGTGATCGTACGCCTCCGCCCCCTGCTCGTGGTGACAGTTCCCCGGGGCGATCACCCCTCTGTGCTTCCCTCTTCCGTGCCTGCAGTTTGTCATTCCATCTGCCTTCCATGTGGCAGCGTGCTTCTCAACGCGACGCCTTTGCACAAGGCAAGCACGCTGGCACCTCTGGGTTGCAGCTCTTCGGTTTGGCCTTCGCCTTTGTGTGCACACTCCTTTGTCCTTTCAGTGCCCTGTGCTGGCGACACAGACGCCTGCTTGCTGTTTTCTGGCTGTGCTGCCAACAGGGGTTTTTGCCTTTCGCTGGTGCAGTGCAGCTTCCGCCTCTTTGTGCAGGTGCTTCTGAGATTGGTGACTCTGTGCGACCTGTCGGCGCTCATGTGCCTGTTCACCCTCTTTGCCCGCCTGTTCGTCCAATCCCTACGCCCTGCCGCACCCCTTCTGGATGCCTGCCTCCTGTCAACGCAGAGGCCTTTTGTGTTGATGAAGTTCTTCACACGCTGTTGGAGGAAAGTTGTCGTCACATGGACGGACAACCTCTTGCTGTCGCTGCTGGATATCTTGAGGTCCTCTTTGACCACTTTGGTTTTCCGGAATGGCGCACGGCGTTTATCAACGTCCGCACTTGGCACGCCTTCGCTTGTCCTCCTCCTCGTGCCCTGCACATCTACACGGATGGCTCTGCCAACGATGGTGGTGACCTGATCTCGCCTTGTGCCTGGTCCTTTACTGTTTGGGCCGACACGGACTATGGGCGCTTGCTTGTTGGTTTTGCGGCTGAAACCGCAGCGGTGCCCGAGTCGCCGTACTGGCTCGGTGAAGATGATGACACGGCGCTCACGGCGGAACAACTTGCACTTGCCTGGTGCCTTGCTTGGGTCATCCAATATGCCCCACCCTTTTCTGTTGAGGTGCAGGTACACTATGATGCGATGTCCGCAGGTATGGGTGCCTTCGGCTTTTGGCGCCCACCCGTGTGTCACGCTCAAGATAAGGTTAACTCCCTTTCCTCTTTGCTGGTGTGCCTGCGTCAGATTGCCTCTCAGGTTGCGGAGCTCAGTCACGTGCACGTCCGTGGACATGCTGGCCACCTCGGTAACGAAATGGCAGATCAACTTGCGAAGCAGGCTAGGCGACAGCCCTGCAACTTTTGGGATAGGCTGGCGCCCGCCTGGCCCGCGCGGCTCGCCCAGCATTCCTTGAGACAGTGGGCCGGGACCCTCTTCTCACAGAGTTTCGATCTGCCGACCCTTTTTTCCTTTGAGACCGAAGCCGAGCGTTTGCAAGCACTCGATGCCAAGCCCACTGCTGCCACATCCTCCCGGTGTGTGCCACGGCCTGCTGGTGAGGTTGTTGCTTGCTTGACGATTCGTGCAGTTTCTTTCAATGCTCTCACACTTCGTGATGCGAAAGCTGGTCAGCTCCCCCCACTCCCGAGTGTTGGTTTCCGTCTTACCGGACGGAAGGAGATCATCAAGCAACAACTGCTGTCTCTCAAGCCACATTTTGTTGGTTTTCAGGAGACGCGTTTGGGCGACAGCTCGGTTCAAGGAGATGCAGATTTCTTTATTCTGCAGTCGGCTGCCACTGATTCGGGTGCCCTGGGCACCTCTTTGTGGGTCTCTCTTCGCGAGCCCTATGCCTGGCATGGCAAGCGACCCCTCTTCCTGCAGCCTGGCCATTGCAACACCTACAGCTTTTCGCCCAGGCATCTCACAGTCGACATTTCCGCGCCTTTTCTCAAGCTTGTGGTGGTTGTGGTGCATGCTCCCAATGCCTTCCGCGTTCCACTCTCGGAAGTTGAGAGCTTCTGGAGCCAGCGTGCCTTGGAAATTGAAAAGCGACCTGCCGGTGCTGACTATATCGTTTTGGCTGATGCAAACGCCCATGTGGGCGGGGAGCCGACCCTCCACATTGGCGACCATCAGCCTGAACCCGAGAATCCCCCGGGTCAGGTCTTTCGCGATTTTCTTCAGCGTGTGCAGGGCATGTTGCCGGCTACATTTTGGCAGTACCATCGGGGTCTCGGGTACACTTGGGTTTCTCCCCTGCGGAGCCCAGCACCGCATCGACTTCATTATCACTCCGCTGGCATGGGCAGGATTTGACCTGATTTCAGAAGTGCTTTACGACTTTGAGTCGCTCCAAAAAAAGGACGATCATTTTCCTGTCATGCTTGAAGCCTCTTTCTCGAAGCAGGAACCCCATGGGCCCCCGTGTGCACGGCCCCCCCGCGCCGGTAGGCCGTCCAAACCTGTCACTCAGCAGCAAGTTTGTGCGGCACAGCTTGCCATCGGCTCCTTTATGCCGGACCCATGGTCGGTTGATGTGGACTGCCAGTATGCACGCCTGACCAATCATTGGCAGGCTGCAGCCAGGGTCCTTGATCCTGCTAACCCCAAGCAGGGCAGGCAACCGTACCTCACTGCAGCCACTCTTGACCTCGTACAGCTGCGACGTGCTCTGAGACAATACCTTCGTCGTGAGGCTGTCGTCCGGCGACGGTGCCTGCTCATGGTTTGCTTCACTGCCTTTGCGATGAACGTTCAGGGAGCTCAGTTCGGTGCCGAGCATTTTGCTGTCCTCAAAAGGTGGTTTGTCACTCTTGACTTCAGTGAGGCGGAGGCGCTCTTCCGGCTGCATCACCTGGGGTACCACCTTCGAAAGTTTGTGGCCAGAGACCGGGCTGCTTATTTGCAGTCGCTCGCCCATGACGTCCAGCTTCAAGATGTCAAGGACCCCGCGGCGCTCTTTGCTTCGGTTCGGCGTGCTTACCCGGCCACCAGGTCAGGCGAACGTAGCACCTTCAAGCCCCTCCCCGCGGTCCGGGGGGCTGATGGTGAGCTCGTCGTTGGAGTGCAGGACCGTCTTGAGGTCTGGAGGTCTCACTTTGCCGAGCAAGAGGCTGGTGTCCTCACCACCCCCGAGCAGTACGTCGCAACCTTTGCGGGTACCAAGCCACCCGCGCCGGACCCAGTCTTCGACATCGATGTTGTGCCGTCGTGGAAAGACGTTGAGGCCATCATGCTCGCCCTGCACAGGGGGCGTGCGTGTGGTGCTGACCTCATCACTGCAGAACTTCTTCAGGCCCATGTGCCCACGACATCTAGGCAACTGCTTCCGATCCTGGTGAAATCCTCCCTGGGGCTCCGGGAGCCGTTGTTGTTTAGAGGCGGTGAGCTTGTGGCACTGGCTAAGCGAGCAGGTGCTGCTTTCCAGTGCAAGGACTTTAGAAGCATATTAATCTCGTGTCTGCCAGGTAAAGTGTACCACCGTAAGGTGAGGGAGCAACTGTCTCACGTGCTCCGACAGCATCGCCATGAGATGCATGCTGGCACTCTTCCTGGTGAGGGCATTGAGTGTATCTGCCTCGCCGCCAAGACGTACCAACATCTTTGCGAAGCTGCCAAGGTGCCCTGGTCTCTGGTCTTTTTCGATCTCCAGTCAGCCTATTATCAGGTTGTCCGCGAGGCTGTTTCTCCTGGTTGTCGTGATGATGCCAGCCTCTTGAAGCTCTTGCATTGCCTTCAGCTTCCCGCAGGAGCTTTGACAGAGCTGCGTGGTCATTTGGAGCAGCTTGCACTGCTACCCAGCCTTGGTGCGTCCCCGCACCTGACCTCCATCGTCAATGACATGTTCCGTGGGACATACTTCTACATGATGGGCAGCACTACCCTTACTCTAACTTCCCGTGGAGTGAGGCCCGGAGATCCTGCCGCCGATGCCATCTTCAGTCTGACGATGTCGGCCCTGTTGAAGAGGATCGAATTGGACCTTGAAGCCAAGGGGCTCGCGCCTTCTCTGCCGGAGCCGTCTGTTCGACCGTTGTGGGCCTCGCCAGAGCAGTCCTCTGGGATTGGTTGCCCTACGTGGGCCGACGACTTTGTCCGTCCCTTCAATGCCCCCGCACCCAACTTGCTGGTGCAGCGGACCCAGCTCGGAGTGACTGCAATTGTCGAGCGGGCTGTTGGAATGGGCATGTGCGTATCTTTCGCACGTCAAAAAACTGCACTGCTGCTCCCACCTTGGATCAGAGGAGATGAAGATGGTATTGCCAAGGTCAATTCTTCAGGTGCCCGCTTTCTCCCTATTGAGGACCGGCTATCCGGCTGCACGCATGAGTTGCTTATAGTGGACTCTTACAAGCACCTTGGTGGCATCGTGGTGTCATCCACGTCGCCGATGCCGGACCTCCATCATCGATTCACCAGGGCGCTTTCTATGGTCAAACCTCTTCAGCGACGGTTGTTCTCCTGCAAGCAAGTCCCTCTGGCCACGAGGCGACTTTTGTTGCAGTCTCTCGCCGTTTCGCGTTACATACACACTGGTGCTTCTTTGATTCTCCCGGCTGCTTTCCATAGGCGCACCTGGGCGCAACATTTTGTTGCCCTCTGGAGGTCACTTTTCGCAAGACCCAAGAAGGATCGACAGCCGCACTCCTATGACGTCTTGCTGGCAGCGCGCGCGCCCTCTCCCCCGTTGGCCCTTGCCAAATCACGGTCGCTGTTTCTGCAGAAACTTACCTGCCAGGGACCGAGCCTTCTGCGTAGGCTCCTGTATGACCACTGGGCCTTATTTCCTGCCAACTCCTGGTTGGCACAACTGCAGGGAGATGTACGCCAGGTCGCTCTTTATGTGCCAGAGGTTGTCACTGTCCTCGGGGATGACCCCGTGCCTGTGCTGCTCGAGTCACTCTTGGATTCCCCTACTTGGTGGAGTTCCCAGGTAAAAAAGGCCATCAGGTGCTTTCAAGCCGATTTGCATCGTTGGAAGGCCTCCGACCAACCGGGTCCTGTAGTGTGCAGTGATGCTCCCCGTCCTTTCTCCTGCCATGTCTGTGGCTCCAGCTTCCTGTTGCGGAAGCATCTGTGTGTGCATTTGTCAAGGTCCCACGGGATCCTCGCTCCCACTCGCCACTTCGCCCCCACCACCTTTTGTCTTTCGTGTCATAAGGACTACGGTGCGGTGACGCGTGTGCAGATGCACTTGAAGCATGCAGATGCTTGCCTGCGCAGGGTTGCCAGGGTTATGCCACCGACGACTCCAGCTGAGATTGCAGACGCGGAGTCTGCTGAACGTCTTCAGCGCAAGCGTCAAAAGACTGGGCATTGGCTTGAGTTCACTGCGCCCAGGCCTGCGGCTTTGGCTTATGGGCCTGTGCTCCCTACTTGGGAGGAGCGTCGTCCTGCTGATTTCACCGATGAAGCCGACATCTCATTGGATCAGCTTGTGCCCTCCTTTGTGCCATCACCCGACACTTTGACCTGGATTGAAGAGCACCTGTCCGCCCGGTCCGTTGAAGGGCCACGCACTACTTCATCATCCTTCTGGGACCGGCGACCAACCTGTTTCACCTCTGCATGATTTTTGGGACGCGTCGCTCCCCCGGGGCGACTCGAACAGTCCGCACAGAACAGAAGAGAATGCTGCTACTACTAATAACAACAACAATAACAATAATTATTCTTGTTGTCATATATAATACTAATTATTATTAGTGTTTTTGTGTTCTTTGGTGTTTTATGGGCTAGTGCAAGGGTTTCAATAAAGGGCTAGTCATGCAGGGGTTTGCGAGGGTTCTGCCATAAGGGTTCCGTCAGGATTGTTAAAAGGGTTCTGAACGGGATCTCCAGTAAGGCTTTCACAACAAGGGGGGAGGAGGGTTCCAATAAAAGCTTTTTTCGTTTCAAGAGCTCCCTTGCTCTTGCTCTCAGGGTCCCTAAACCCTAAACCCTAACCCCTAAACCCTAATCCCTAAACCCGAAGCCCTCAGGTTCTACCCGAAGCCTGTTTAGCCCCTCAGAAGTCTCATTGAAGTCACCCAGTGAAACAGGGATCCCTTGGGCGCATCCTCTGGGGGTGCTGCGTCGACCCTGGTGTGGCGGTGCCCTGCCAGGGTTTGGGGTTGCGGGTTTCCGGGTGTATGGGAGGCTTTTTTTCGGAGTTTCTGGTCCAGGGTTGATTCAACCCTATAAAGCCTAAACCCTAAACCCCTTAGGTTTCGGAAAAGTTTGTAAAATCCTGCAGTTCTTTGAGCCTTTCGTGGCTCGTCCTTGGAGCCCTTCGCGTTGCTTTGTTTTTTGGGGCCAAAAGGGCACCCTGAAGTGGCGTTTAGAGATCGACGGCGATTAAGAGCAGCATGGCAGTTTGCCACCATGCTGACGATGAGGGAGGAGTATGTTCATAGAGAAGAAGGAGATCATTATGCTGATGATGATGATGATGACGGCGGCTGCGGAAGACTATTCGGATCAGCGGCTCAGGGGTTGTGGTGAGGGGTCGTGGATGGCGACTTAGAGGAAGACTGTGAGACTTAACTTCCCTGAAGATGAAAATCCTGCAACCTACAATCCTAACCCTTCTCCCTCAAGGAATCCCTCCACCTTCAGACCTCGAAGCCCCAGACGCCGAACCTGAGGCCTCTCTAACTAAACCCTAAACCCTAAACCCTAAGCCGTGGCTTCGGGCTTTCTGTGGTCTTTTCGGGTTTAGGGAGAATCAAGATTCTAGGTAGCTCCAGGCCCCAACCCCTAAACTCCGAAGCCCAGCAGCTCAAACATCCAAAGAGCTAAACCCCGAAACATTCATTGTAGATCCCGAATAGAACTCGAATAATAAAGCCTCACATCACGCCTCTAAATCCCAAAAGCTGGTCCGACACCCTCAACCCTTCTTGTAGATCATAGAACCCGAAACCCGAACACCCTTGCAACAGATCCCAGAAGCGCCCCCAGAGGTCCTGAACCCTAAGCCTGAAAAGGTGCACCTCTTTGGTGACGCCTCATGGCAGCGTCCACCCCGACCCCCGGGGCGGTGCCTGACTCTGGTGTCGAGATCGCGAACGGCCGGAGAGGCGTTTTCTACGGGTATGATGAAGCGGGGTTTTTAGGTTCCGTAGTCTATAACAGGGTTTTGCAGGGTTTAAGGGTTTAGGGTTGTTCTAAGCCTTTTTGTTTGGCTGGCGTGTTAGAGTTCAGACTTGTAGGTATGCCCTAAACCAGCAGCTCTCAATCCCGAAAGAACCCATGTCGAACCCTTACAGGAACCTTGTGGAAGCCTGAAAGCAAGCCACTCCCGTAAGCCCTGCTAGACCAGGCCACTAAACCTTATTACCTTCACCCCCTCATTTGAATTAAAACCTCCACAGAACCTTTGCAGAACCGAAAGTAGCCGCAAAGGCTTCTAGACCAACCCAATAAACCCTAAACCTCCGCTCTAAACCCCAAAAGAACCCCTCACCGATTGCATGTCTCCATGCCGATGCTAGCACGCGAATTTGACGAGCGCAGACAGCCCGAACATGTCCGCCAAAGATTAACACACGAAAAAAAAGCCCAACGCCCTAAAACCTTGAAGCCCTAAACTCTAAACCCAAACCCCTGAACCCTAAACCCCCCCCTAAGCTCAGACCCTGGGCCCCAAACTCCCAAAGAGACCCTAAACCCTAAACCCTAATCCCTTAAACCCAAAACCCCAGACCCAAATTCCTAAAACCTAAGCCCAAAACCCTAAAACCTAAATCCAAAACCCTAAACCCTAAACCCAAAACCCTAAGCCCGCGTTCTTTTGAGGTCGCCGAGGCACTGGAGCGACTGGGCGAGCCGGGCACCGCGGGGCCGTGGCCTCCCGGGGACGCCGGGCCTTTGGCGACTCGTTGAGCTTAGCGGCTTAGGGTTTTTTGGGGGGTTTAGGGTTCATCAAGGGGTTTAGGGTTTGGGGTTAAGGGGGTTTTAGGGTTTATGAGTTTCGGGTTTAGGGTTTGGGATTAGGGGTGTAGGGTTAATTTAAGGGGTTTAGGGTGTAGGGTTAAGGGGGTTTTAGGGTGTATGAGTTTCGGGTTTAGGGTTTTTTTGGATTGGGGGGTTAATTAAGGGGTTTGGGTTTAGGGGTTCAGGGTTTAGGGTTGCCCTGTAGACTTGGGTTTGGTGTTGTATACTGATCATGTGTGTGTGTGTACCCACCCTGCCCAGCCCTTTCTCTGGGGCGGGGTGATTCATTCTAGCCAGTTTCTGCCTAGAGCGGCCAGGGGCAACGAAATTCTAGATTGAACAGTTGGCATGATCAAGTTCAACCGGTTTGCGCAAAAGGGGCTCGGAGCGATTACATTTTTGCGGCCTCGGGCGATTGAATCTAAGCGGATTCTGGCGCAAACGGCCACCCCCTGCAAGGACAGCAGCGAAATCGTGAAGGACAGGAAGCTGTTCAATTCAATATAGTCTAGGCCAACAGGGCTTCAACATTGACTCTGTTCACTTCAACGCCCATCCGAACTGTTGGCCTTGCATTTTGTATTGCACCCGCAAGTATGTTTACCATTCTTTGCTGTACAGATTTCGGCGACGAGGCCCCCAAAAGAATTTCTGAGGACACCGTGTGGCAGAGCAGCAGTTGGTCATTTACTTCCCCAGGTAGTTTGTGGAGGGTTTAGGGTTTGGGGTTTA